CTCCTCTAAAACCTAACCCAAATCAAGGCCCAAAATTTTAGGCATCACGTGCAGAGTAAAATAATTAGAGCCGTCGGCCTACGCGTGTAGCAGAGTTCAAATCGGTCAGGGGAACACGGAGCGCCCGCTCTAAGGCCAGAGCGCCCGCTCTGAAGTCTCGCAGAAAATGCTCTGATTATTCTGGGAGCTAGAGCGCCCGCTTCAACATTAGAGCGCCCGCTCTGAGGGTTGGGTACTTGGTTTTTCTGCAGCAAGGAATACAGAGCGCCCGCTCCATATCTAGAGCGCCCGCTCTGAACTCTTCTTTCCTTCATATTTTGGGCTCTAATGCTCCAATCCCTTTGACTCCAAAGCATGCCTAATCCTTGCATCCAATCCTTGCTTTCTTAGCCACGGAGGACCTGTAAGATGGAAAACACAAATCATAGGAAAGGTTCTAATAGGAGCAAATTGAAATGGGTTAAAGGAGAGGGAATAAAACCTTAGGAAATGAGCCAAAAATGACTCAAAACCACTCCAAGTAACAAATATGCTCAATAATAACAAAACTAAGCTAAAATAGAGGAAAAAGGGCAAACAAAGGGCTCAATCGGGGAAGAAACGAAGTAGAAAAGTGGGCCAAATGGCCACTGATCAAATTCCCCCCAACTAAGTCCTTTGCTCGTCCTCGAGCGAAGTAAAATAAGCAAACAAAAATAACCAAAAGCATAAGTCTATACACTAACTCACTTTCGTAGGAATCACGGTCGTTTTTAGCGTAAACGACAAGCCATTTAAACCCCCAAGTCACTTAGGAGGACGAGTATGCTCTCGTGAGGGTTTTCGAGAGAGATTAACCCACAACTTCGCACTAAATCAAGGCAAGGTTTTTAGAGACAAATAGAAAAATAGAAAAATAGAAAAATAAAAAGGGAAAGAAACACAAACATGAATGGTTGAACTTTCACTACAATGCAATCACAAGGATGCGCAAGCTTCTTGACAAGATAGGTGGACAAGCTAGCTAATGCTCCTGGTTGAAGGCCACATAGCTCATGCTCAAAAGCTTGGACTATAAAGATCCTATCCTCCAATTGTCCCTCACCAAGGCAACCTTCCTCATCTCGATCATGTACACTAGGCGGCTAGTCGTCTCGAATTCCACAAGAGAATTAGGAGAACAACAAGGAGGTGGGCAAGGTAGGATTGCCCTAACTTAGTAAATGCAAATCCAATCTAAAAGCTCGACCCATGACTCTCTCCACCGACATTGACTCAATCACTCAAGGTCCAAAGGGCTTTTAAGGTGCAATGAAATGGCTTGGGGTAAGGGTTAAAAAAAAAAAAAAATTCTGGCTGGTGGTGTAAGCTCCTAAGAGTGAAACATTAATGAATCGAGCAAAACCAAGGCCAACTAACCTTAGTTGGTGGGTATTATACCCCCCAACTAACTCTAAACTATATACAAGATCGATGCCTTACTTATGCATTCTTATTCCAACTTTTTTTTTTTTTTTTTTTTTTTTTTTTTATACCAAAAGATTTAATTGGGGAAACAAACACGTCCCTTGCAATTTACATTATAGACATCCACTATGCCAAACTTTTAACTTAGATACAAAGCCAAGCTCGAGTTTCACTCATTTCTATAAAGGTGAAAATAAAATTAGGTTCATAAGGCTTGTAATGCGGGTAGACAAAAAGTGGAAGGCTCAAGGGGGTACGCAAAAGGTGAATGTAAACCCAAAAACCTGAAATTTGAAAGTAAAGGTGTCCTAGGAAATAAAAAAAGGATCTAAAAAGAACGAAAAATTATGCCCTTATCCCGAAATGAATGCCTTTATCATCCTATGAGTCGATTCGGTCGCGGTCTCAAGAGTCAAATGGAGCGAGTTTTAGATCAAGTAGCAAAACACTAAGTCTCCAAATTTCTAGCCACCTAGCTTTCATTCACAAGATGAGCTACGCCCAACAACCACAAACCGAGGACAAAAGGGATCAAGGCCTAAATAGCCCAAGATATGTCCAATAGGAGTCATTTGAGCAATGAAGCTATGTGATTTTCAACCAAAACATTAAAGACCTTGTAAACCTATCAAACCAAGGAACCAACTCATATATGTTCATACATTGTAGCTACTAATTCAGCCAAACACAAAACAAAGTTTTAACACTTGCCTTGGATAACACTAAGAGAAAGAAAAAGAAAAAGAAAACATTGAAGAGCAACAAGAGAAGTAGGACTTTGTTTGGAATAAATTCCATAAGTGGGGCGGTAGAAGGTACGTGAATTGAATGCACGTCCTCCTAGGCATAAAGCCGGGCGCCTCTCACGAGGTGTGAACCTCGCCCCGTTGCTACTCTTCAACAAAAATAGAAAGGAAGGGATAGAAGGATAGAAGAGGAACTCAAGAATGAAAGCATCAATTCACACAATTCTCAGTACACAATTCCAAGTATGCAAACATCCATGAATCAATCAACTTAATCCTAACTCCGCTCCTAGGAACTAAGCAAGATAAAATAAATAGAAGAGAGTTTGGAAAGATCTCACCGGAGCCATGCCAATCCAAAACATAAAAAGAATGATGGGTTCCAAGTCAACCAACCTTGGCTCCTTCCAAAAGTAGTATACAACCTGCCAAAAAGTGAGAAATACCAGAACTCCAAAGCAAAAAGATTAGAAAACAAAATAAAGAAGAAAAAGGAAAAGTGATCATGTATAATACAAACCAACAGATACAAGCCAACAGATTATTAAGCACAAGCAAGCATAGGAAAGGCTGCTCATCCCCAAAATGATCTTTTCATTTGCCCCTAGATATGAAAATGCTAAGGCACCCCCCCAACTAAAACCAGGCACCGTCTCGGTGCGATAAAACATGTAATAGTCAAGGGTGGGGGGGGGGTCAAAAGAAATGATCATCTATTCCTCAGAGTCTTCCTCTTCCTCTCCCTCTACAACTACAGGGGCGCCCAATCATAATCAACATCGCATGGCGGCCCATATGGCTCCCACCCACCGTAATAACCGGGGGGAAAGCCGTCGCCCTGATAAGGATAGGCGGGATCACCGAGGTAATCACACCCACCTGGGCGCTGGTAGTTGTAGGGGGGGAAGGAGTGGGGAGGGTCATGCAGGGTACCGGGGCCTTGCCAATAGGGGTATTGGCCGCCGGTACGAGGAATGGGGTTCCCATTGTCATCTACCTGAGGGGGCTCCCAATTCGGGACAGGCCCGTGCTGCGGAGGGTAGTAGGGGTAGTTGACACATGGGCTAAAATGTCCCTGGTCCACATGGTAATCATAAATATGGTTTTGATAAATATCAAAAGTGGGACCAGGAGACTGAGCAGGGGCCTCCTCTCTTTCCCTAGGCCGGGCTTGAGCAAGGTTCCTAACCTCCAGAGTGAGGCTAGCGAAAGCTTGCTCAATATTAAATGCAGAAGAGGAAGAGGGCTCACCTCCCCCCGAGAACTGGGGGGGCTGCTGAAGATGCTGCTGTGCCTGAGAAATAAATTGTTGAAATTGCTCTTGTTGCTGCTGCTGAAACTGTTGCTGCTGTTGCTCTTGATGTTGCTGGAATTGTTGTTGTTGCCGCCTCGCTTGCCTGATTTCATTTCTATGATCAATCTCGGGCTGGGAGAGGTCATTCTCGTGAATTTGCTCCATAGGGACTTGCCATGGTAACTCAGTTCCCGGGGGCGGATTCATCATGAACGGACATGGCATGTAGCACCAAGGGACGTCTCGGATCCGCCAAATGAAGGCCTTACCCGTGACTCCCGTGGAATCCGAAATGAATTGCATTCTTTTCATCTTCTCTATGTTCAATTCGGCTGCCATGTTCAAGCTCTCCATCTGCTGCAGCTGGGTCTTGTATCTGTACTTGAAGGCGATATACGTGACCATCCCTCCCATAAAGATAGGACCAGTCAAGAGGGGGGAGTCCCTTATTGCCTTACATCTCTTGGCAAACAGATACCCTAGATTGATCTTGTGCTCCGGGGTGGCAGGTGGGTAAAGAAGCGCACCCTCGGTAGCTCTCCAAAGAAGATATAACTCTTGATCGCTCATTTTACCTAGATCTTTTCTGGAGAAGAAAATATATGCAAGCATCCGGTGAAAGTACCGTAAGGCGGCATGGTGGATCTCTGAGGCCTTGGAGGAGTTTGATTGGAATTCTCTAGCCCCACTCGTGATTCGGGCCCAAAATTCTTGCGGACTGTACCCCTCTATATAACCTTGACCGTCAAGTCCGGAGGTATCCAAGATTCGAGCATTTGGGTCCCAACCAAATAGTTCATTGAAAGCACGGAGGGTAATGTGGCGGCCTTTGTTGAACAACCGGAATTTTACTTTGAATGCATCAATGCCTTCCATACCCTCTTCTTGATTTAACTCGAAGCTAGCAAGAAACTCCAATGTTAGGGGGCGGTAAGTTAGAGGCGGTTGGGTGGGGTAGTAGTAGGAAGTATCTGCGGTGATGTAATCATTTGGCAATCTACAATCCAAGAACGCATCAAACCCCAGATTCACTGCAAGCTCCCTAACCTTCTCGTCTATTCCAATCATATAACAGTCGTGTTGGGAATAGAAGAGAGTTGGATTAATTGCCCTCCTATCCAATGCGGCCAATTTGGTCCTTTGGGCCGCATGTGGCAGGGTAATGTTGAATTGAGTGGGTTGAGCATGCCCACCACTACTACCGGCACCACTACTTTCTCCTACATTACCACTCCTTGGTTCGGCTCTTTGCCTCTTTGAACCACCAGCCATTTCTTACAACAACAATATAGAAATTTTCCAAAGCAACACACCACAACAACCCAACAATTTCCAACAATTCTACACAATGACCACAAAAACAAAACTCTCCAAAACTTTGCACAACCACCAATTCTAAAACCAAAACTTTCTACAAACCAAAACCTAGCAAAAATCCACAATAATTTTCCCTTGCCAAAGCACCACAACAAACAACACACTACAATTCACAACAAATTTTCACCACATAAAACACAAAAACCCATTCATTCACCATCAATTCTCCAATTAAGCCAACCTTAATAAGCAAATATCCAAAGAAATAGGGAAAATTAACTTAGTAAGAGTAGGATTATACCAACAATTGGAGACAAATTAGCCTAGAGTTGAAATTGAAGAAGAACCCGACTTGGCCCGACGCGAACCCGGTAGAACCCGCTTCAATTCTTGATGAAATCCGGACTAGGTGCTGAATTCTTGATGGAGATGTATGATTTTTGGAGATAGGGGATGAATAATTTGTGAATTTTAGAGGAATTCGTAGTTGGAAGGTGGAGATTTGGAGGAGATGAAGGTTTGGTTATGGAGGAAGAAGTTGAGGGAGTTTGAGGTGAGAGAAGGGATAGGGATAGGGAGTTTGAGGTGAGAATTTGGGTGCTCAAAATTAAAAGGGGATAAAACGCAAAGTCTGAAATGAGGGTCGGAGCGGGCGCTCTAAGGGTAGAGCGGCCGCTCTAACATTTCGCTGAAAAATCAGGTTTCTGGGTTGAAAATCAAAGCGCCCGCTCTAAGACCAGGGCGCCCGCTCTAAAGCTGCGCAATTTTCCCACACTTAGTCAATTTTTCACCCAAAACTCAGAGCTCCCGCTCTCTGACCAGAGCGCCCGCTCTAGCTTCTCGGATTTTAGCACCAAAAATGTAGAATTTCTGAGGGACCTTCAAAGCGCCCGCTCTACACCCAGAGCGCCCGCTCTAAATTCTCGAAATTTTCCTTCCTTAGCCCCCTTAAAATCAGAGCGCCCGCTCTACACCCAGAGCGCCCGCTCTAAATTCTCGGATTTTGGCCTCAAGTATTCTGAATAATTCCCAATGATGCAGAGCGCCCGCCCTCTGTTTAGAGCGCCCGCTCTAGACTGTCGGATTTTTGGCTTTAAAAGCATTATTTCCCAAACCTGCAAACACTCAAATATCACTCAAACCAAAATCGTTAGTACTTCTATAGGATGCGACCTAAGTACCCGACTCAACCATTGATTGGTTGAGCCAAGAGGTCGTGCCCTTCGGTTTATAGCATTTTGGCTAACGATAACCAACATAAACCATCCCCTCTTTGGGGAAAAATCCTCCGGATTTTTGCAAAGTACTTAAAACAAAAAGTAACTAAAGAGATAGTTCAAAGACAAATATTCACAATATACTACAAAGCATGCTAGTTTAACGTCCCTAGCTTGACGTTACGTCACGAGCAATAAAGCTAAGGGGGAGGAACGGTGTGGACCGTCCCAAGCATTAGGCAACCGATCTTTCCAATATCTCCTTCATCATAGTATCTTTTGATCCGTTGCCCATTCACCATGAACCGGCTCCCATCTTCATGATTTTCCAATTCGAACGAGCCATAGGGGGTTACTTTGGTGATTGTAAACGGCCCCACCCATTTGGACTTGAGCTTCCCGGGAAAGAGTCGGAGACGTGAGTTGAAGAGAAGAACCTTGTTACCCACCTCGAAGTCACGATCTCGAATCCTTTTGTCGTGCCACCTCTTGGTTTGTTCTTTGTAGAGTCTAGAGCTCTCATAAGCATCATACCTCAACTCTTCCAACTCGTTGAGCTTGAGTAACCTCTTTTCTCCGGCCAAGTGAAGGTCCATGTTGAGTTCCTTTACAGCCCACCATGCCTTGTACTCCAATTCCACCGGAAGGTGGCATCCCTTACCATAGACAAGTCGATATGGCGTGGTGCCAATCGGTGTCTTGTAAGCGGTCCGTAAGGCCCATAGTACATCATCCAGTCTTAGGGACCAATCTTTTCTAGACTTGTTGACCATCCTCTCGAGCAAACTCTTAATTTCTCTGTTGGACACCTCCACTTGCCCTTGGGTTTGTGGATGGTAAGGGAGTCCAACCTTATGATGTACCCCATATTTCTTCAAAAGTGCTTCGAGTTGTTTCTTGGCGAAATGAGATCCGCCATCACTAATTAGGCACCGTGGCACCCCAAATCTAGGAAAGATGATCTTCTTGAGCAACTTCAACACTACCTTGTGGTCATTTGTGGGTGATGGTATCGCTTCCACCCATTTAGTCACATAATCCACAGCCACAAGGATATACAAATTCCCACATGAGGAGACAAACGGACCCATGAAGTCCACTCCCCATACATCAAATGGCTCAACTTCTAAGATTGATTGTTGCGGCATTTCATTTCTCTTTGTGATTCCTCCCATCCTTTGGCATCGGTCACATCGAAGGATGAACTTGTGAACATCTTTGCGCATAGTTGGCCACCAAAGCTTGCAACCTAGGATCCTTGCCACGGTCTTGTTGACACCTCCATGACCTCCACAAGGTAGTGAATGACAATGTTCCATAATACCTTCCATCTCATGATTTGCCACACATTTCCGGAACAAACCGTCACTACACTTCTTGTACAAGCTTGGATCATCCCAAAAATACCTCTTAACTTCCTTGAAGAACCTCTTCCTTTGTCGAGCATCATAGTCATGAGGTACCACCCCGCTTGCTAAATAATTTGCAATATCAGCGAACCAAGGGATGGTGTTGGTAACGATCGCCATAAGAGAGTCATCTCGAAGCTCATCATCGATGGGATCCTCTTTGTCAAGGTAAGAAGGGTGGTCTAACGGCAACCTTGAGAGGTGGTCAGCCACTAGGTTCTCACTTCCTTTCTTATCCCGTATTTCAATGTCAAATTCTTGTAAGAGAAGGACCCATCGGATTAGACGCGGCTTAGCATCCTTTTTGCTCATTAAATACTTCACCGCGGAGTGATCGGTGTAGACAATGGCCTTGTTGCACACCAAATAGGGTCTAAACTTGTCAAAAGCGAAGACCACCGCCAACATTTCCTTCTCCGTGGTGGTGTAATTCTTTTGTGCCGTATCTAAAGTCCGGCTTGCATAAGAGATCACATTCAATTTCTTTTCTTTCCTTTGCCCAAGGACTGCTCCAACTGCATTATCACTCGCGTCACACATTAGTTCAAACGGGAGTTCCCAATTCGGTGCTTGCACTATAGGCGCATTCACTAAAGCATTTTTCAAGGTTTCAAATGCCTTAGTGCAAGCATCATCGAATTTGAACTCCACCTCTTTTTGAAGTAAACTCGTCAAAGGTCTCGCTATTTGTGCAAAATCTTTGATAAATCGGCGATAGAAGCCGGCGTGCCCCAAGAAGGCACGTACCCCGGTCACCGATGATGGTGGGGGTAGCTTTTCTATCGCCGAGACCTTTGCCGGGTCTACCTCAATACCATTAATGGACACTTTATGCCCGAGGACAATGCCCTCCTCGACCATAAAATGGCACTTTTCCCAATTCAACACAAGGTTCGTCTCTTGACACCTCTTTAAAACCTTTTCGAGATTGTGCAAGCATAGGTCAAAAGACGAACCACAAACACTGAAATCATCCATGAAAACTTCTATTGCATTTTCGATCATATCAGAAAAGATTGCTGTCATACATCGTTGGAAAGTCGATGGGGCATTGCACAATCCGAAGGGCATCCTTCGGTAGGCAAATGTCCCAAATGGACAAGTGAAGGTTGTTTTATGTTGGTCATCCGGGTGAATTGGGATTTGAAAGAAACCCGAATAACCATCAAGAAAACAATAGTGTGAATGCTTCACCAACCTTTCCAACATTTGATCGATAAATGGCAAGGGGAAATGATCTTTTCTAGTGGCTTTATTAAGCCTCCTATAGTCAATGCACATTCTCCACCCCGTGACAGTGCGGGTGGAGATATCATTCCCCTTGTCATCTTGTATGATGGTCATGCCTCCCTTTTTGGGAACCACATGAACCGGGCTCACCCATTTGCTATCGGAGATAGCATAAATGATCCCCGCTTCACGTAGTTTGAGGATTTCCTTCTTAACCACTTCCTTCAAAGTCGGATTCAACCGCCTTTGAGGTTCAATGGAAGAGGCATGATCATCCTCAAGATGAATGCGATGCATACACAAGCTAGGGCTAATCCCCTTAATATCATCAATGCTATACCCGATAACACTCCTATATTTTTTTAAAATCTCAATTAATTTTTGCAATGAGGTGTCATCGAGGTTAGCATTGACAATAATAGGATGTAAGCAATCATCATCCAAATAAGCATATTTGAGAGAAGGAGGGAGGGGTTTTAGTTCTACCTTGGGAGGAGGCGTGGAACTCTCCTCCTTAGACTCACTTTGGATCGATGGGAGCTCATCCACGGCTCCTTGAGTCTCGGGATGAGTTTCACCTTCAAGGCTTTCAACCTCCAAGGCACACAAAGATTCTCCTTCACCCACCTCCTCACATGGGAGGTCTTCATCACCCTTGTCTTTAATTACCTCATGAGACTTCACCAATTCATCAAGTTCGGAGTCCACCAAGTCCACCCGCCAAATCTTCTCTACCATAGGTTGCTTCAAAGTCTTTGAGAATTCAAACTTGTACTTCTCATTGGCCACCTCACATGTAATGGTATTATCTTTGCAATTGACGACCGCTCCCATGGTCTTGAGTGCCTCTCTTCCAAGGATAAGAGGAGTATGAGGGTCCTCCTCCATATCCATCACCACAAAATCGCAAGGCACAAACAAATTCCCAATCTTGATAGGAACGTCTTCTAACTCACCGCATGGGAATTTTGTGGACCGGTCGGCTAATTGAATCACCTTTCTTGAAGGTATCATCTCGAACTTGAGCTTCTTTGCAATGGATAGTGGCATGAGGCTCACACTTGCCCCAAGATCGGCTAGTGCACCCGTGGTCTCCATATCACCAATCTTGACCGGAAGAGTGAAGCTTCCCGGATCACATTGCTTGGTAGGCAAGGTTCTTTGCACTAGGGCACTAACTTGATGAGGAAGAGTGATACACTCATCACTTAGCTTCTTTTTGTTGGAGAGGAGTTCCTTGAGGAATTTTGCATAGGGTGGCATTTGAGTCATGGCTTCAAGGAATGGAATGTTGATGTGAAGTGACTTGAGCATAGCCATAAACTTGTTGTACTTGTCATTCAATCTCCTCTCAACAATCCTCTCGGGATAAGGCGGTGGTGGTTCAAACCTTGATGGTTGATAAGATGTTGATGGTTGCTTGTCTTTCCCAACTTCCTTGCTCTTTTCACTACCTTCACCCTTCTTCTTCTCAATGCTTCCTTCAACACTATTGTCAATTATTTGACCTTGGCTATCTCCATTGACCTCTTCAACCACTTGCTCTTCACCCTCCTTGTTGTGCTCCGATTGATCACTCCTAGGCCCCTCATAAGACTTTCCGGACCTAAGAGAGATAGCTTTGATATGATGGGTGGTAGCCGGGTTGGTAGTAGGTTGGCCCGGGAGCTTCTCATTGGCTAGATTGGTCACCCTCTCGGCGAGTTGAGCCACTTGATTATCCATCATCTTTTGATGTGCGGTGACCTCTTGATGCCTTTGATCCGCTTTTCGCTCACTATTGGTTATTCTTTGATCCATGGCGGATAGGCTTGATTGGATTCTATTGAGAGTTTCCATGAGCATTTGTTGATTAGGATCATTTTGCATGGAAGGGTTGGGTTGGAAATTCTGAAATTGGTTGGGTGGTCCTTGCTTGAATGGTGCTCTAGGGTGATTGCTAGCATTTGGATTTGGAAAGGGAGCCATTTGACCCGTGTTGTGGCTTGGGCCACTTGCATCTTGAAATCTATTACCATAATTGGCATTGGGGGCTCTCCAATTATCACGTTGATTGTTCATGTACCCCATTGCCGCTACATGTTCGGGGTCTCGACCACCACAATATGATATATCATGGTTGGTACCCCCACAATTCTCACAAGAGAAAGAGTGTACTTGATTGGTGGAGGAAGATGAAGACCCTTGGCTATTTCCCAGCTTCTTGTCAATGACTTGTTCCATAAGAGCCTTGAGTGAACCTTGATCAAGCTCGAATTTGCCCGAAGCTCTCTCTTCACCTCTTCTTCTTCCACCACTCGTAGAATAGTACCTCACAACTTCCTCTATGGTGTCCTCCAATTGAGCTTGAGGCACCTTGCTAATATGTCCACCACATCCGGAATTCAAATTTTGCTTGGGTATGTCGTCAAGACCATCATAGAAGAACTTGATGAGAAGTTGCTTGTCAAACTCATGGTGTGGGCAAGCTCTCACATACTCTTTAAACCGGTCCCAAGCTTCCCCCAAAGATTCATACCTTTCTTGCCTAAATGATGAAATTTTCTGCCTCAATTCGGTTGATTTGTCTTCGGGAATGAACTTGTTCAAGAAAGCTTTGGCCGTGTCTCTCCATGTGGCCAACGAGCCGGGCTTTAGGTTTTTGAGCCACCTATAAGCCTTGCCTGTGAGCGAATACCGAAAAAGGTGCATCCGGATGTATTCTTGAGTGACTTGGTTGGTTTGGATTAAAGCACATGTCTCGAGAAATTTGTCCAAATGCTCTATCGGATCTTCATGAGCTGCTCCAGAAAATTGATCTCCACGCACCATTTGAGTGTAGTGCGGGTGGATAGTGAAATTTGTTTCCGTTGTAGGAAGTAGAATCCCACATTGCAATTCATGACTACCCGGATTACCAAAGTCACCAAAAAGAGCGCCATTGGCATCCCCCATGTCTGAAGAAATATCACTAGAAGAATCAAAGAACTCCTCCTCCTCACCCGTTTGTTCAACAAATAGTCTCCTCACTCGCCTTAGAGTGCGGTCAATGTCGAGATCGAGGTCGTGAGTAGGTGGTCCCTGTGATCTTCTAAGCATTCAACACAGCTAAGCAGACAATTAGCGAATGACAACAACGGAGAAATAAATGAAAAATAGAAGGATAGAAGTAGAAAACAATTGAAAAACAAGATAACTAAGCAATAAACAATGTTGCCATTCCCCGGCAACGGCGCCAAAACTTGATCGGCCCCCTAGGTGTCGTTAGTTCCTAAAGGTCGAGTCAAGAATAAAAAGAAAACCCACGTCCTAAACTAACCAAAGGTAGCATAGTGGAAGAGGGGTCGAATCCTCAGGGAAGGTCAAACGTCTCTTGCTTAGATCACTTATAAGTCAATTGAAAAGGGAGGAATAAATTTTTGATGGATTTATCTATAGCTACTAGGGAAACAAATAAACTAAGAACTAAATTAACAAGCAACAAGCAGAGGTATAAAACTTCGAAAATCAAGGAATAGCAAACACTAGGGGATAGGGGAGAATTCCTAACTAACAATGATTTCAACAATTAGAGGCAACAAGAATGGTTCAATCGGTCAACCAAACAATTGGGGCCTATGGTCCAACATCTAGGATTCCCTCTCGGGCTCACCTAAACACCGCCTACCCAACCCCGCCTCGGTGGTCGAGGTCATCCCTAACCTAGTCATCATCACATACAAGCTCACTCTCGCGCAACTAGCATGCAACACAAAATAGGGTCTTAGAGGTGATCAATCTCTAATTCCTAACAACTAAAACCTAGGTTGGAATCAATTGCAAAACTTCTCAATCTACCCAATCTTGCACCACATATCATTCATTTCATCATTAGTTCATCATTTCCCCCTCCCCTAGCTAGAAACCTAGCCTAGAGAAGGAAGGGTCATACCAAAGCACACAAGAACATTAACAAAAGCAAAAACTAAGTTTAATGAGAGAAACATGGCTAAAACCAGAAAATAGGATGATTAAACTTTACTAAAGAAGTTAACTTTGAAGAGAATATGTTAAGTCTACTTGTAATCTATTCTAAATAGCATGAAATCTAAGCAAATAAGGATAATATTATACTAATAGCAAGAAAATAAAGGATCAAAACCAGAAATTGCAAGTTTAAACAAGGAGGCAACTAAGATATTAAACTATTCTATTGACTTGAAATAACAACTAAAGATAAGCTAAAACTAATTAAAATAGATAAATAAAGCAATAAATAAAGAGTAGGGATAGAAATAATACCAAAAGATTTAATCTTGGATTGAAAATGAAAGAGAGTAACAAAGAGTAGTGTTTTAGATCTAATGAGGAACTAAACCCTAACTAATCTAAAGTGCAAAAGAAAGAAAAAAAAACAATAAGCTGAAATCTGATTTTCTAATATTTCTCTCTCTACATACCTCTCTCCTCCCAATTACAAGGAAGAGAGGTATTTATACCCTCCTCTAAAACCTAACCCAAATCAAGGCCCAAAATTTTAGGCATCACGTGCAGAGTAAAATAATTAGAGCCGTCGGCCTACGCGTGTAGCAGAGTTCAAATCGGTCAGGGGAACACGGAGCGCCCGCTCTAAGGCCAGAGCGCCCGCTCTGAAGTCTCGCAGAAAATGCTCTGATTATTCTGGGAGCTAGAGCGCCCGCTTCAACATTAGAGCGCCCGCTCTGAGGGTTGGGTACTTGGTTTTTCTGCAGCAAGGAATACAGAGCGCCCGCTCCATATCTAGAGCGCCCGCTCTGAACTCTTCTTTCCTTCATATTTTGGGCTCTAATGCTCCAATCCCTTTGACTCCAAAGCATGCCTAATCCTTGCATCCAATCCTTGCTTTCTTAGCCACGGGAGGACCTGTAAGATGGAAAACACAAATCATAGGAAAGGTTCTAATAGGAGCAAATTGAAATGGGTTAAAGGAGAGGGAATAAAACCTTAGGAAATGAGCCAAAAATGACTCAAAACCACTCCAAGTAACAAATATGCTCAATAATAACAAAACTAAGCTAAAATAGAGGAAAAAGGGCAAACAAAGGGCTCAATCGGGGAAGAAACGAAGTAGAAAAGTGGGCCAAATGGCCACTGATCAAATTCCCCCCAACTAAGTCCTTTGCTCGTCCTCGAGCGAAGTAAAATAAGCAAACAAAAATAACCAAAAGCATAATTCTATACACTAACTCACTTTCGTAGGAATCACGGTCGTTTTTAGCGTAAACGACAAGCCATTTAAACCCCCAAGTCACTTAGGAGGACGAGTATGCTCTCGTGAGGGTTTTCGAGAGAGATTAACCCACAACTTCGCACTAAATCAAGGCAAGGTTTTTAGAGACAAATAGAAAAATAGAAAAATAGAAAAATAAAAAGGGAAAGAAACACAAACATGAATGGTTGAACTTTCACTACAATGCAATCACAAGGATGCGCAAGCTTCTTGACAAGATAGGTGGACAAGCTAGCTAATGCTCCTGGTTGAAGGCCACATAGCTCATGCTCAAAAGCTTGGACTATAAAGATCCTATCCTCCAATTGTCCCTCACCAAGGCAACCTTCCTCATCTCGATCATGTACACTAGGCGGCTAGTCGTCTCGAATTCCACAAGAGAATTAGGAGAACAACAAGGAGGTGGGCAAGGTAGGATTGCCCTAACTTAGTAAATGCAAATCCAATCTAAAAGCTCGACCCATGACTCTCTCCACCGACATTGACTCAATCACTCAAGGTCCAAAGGGCTTTTAAGGTGCAATGAAATGGCTTGGGGTAAGGGTTAAAAAAAAAAAAAAAAAAATTCTGGCTGGTGGTGTAAGCTCCTAAGAGTGAAACATTAATGAATCGAGCAAAACCAAGGCCAACTAACCTTAGTTGGTGGGTATTATACCCCCCAACTAACTCTAAACTATATACAAGATCGATGCCTTACTTATGCATTCTTATTCCAACTTTTTTTTTTTTTTTTTTTTTTTTTTTATACCAAAAGATTTAATTGGGGAAACAAACACGTCCCTTGCAATTTACATTATAGACATCCACTATGCCAAACTTTTAACTTAGATACAAAGCCAAGCTCGAGTTTCACTCATTTCTATAAAGGTGAAAATAAAATTAGGTTCATAAGGCTTGTAATGCGGGTAGACAAAAAGTGGAAGGCTCAAGGGGGTACGCAAAAGGTGAATGTAAACCCAAAAACCTGAAATTTGAAAGTAAAGGTGTCCTAGGAAATAAAAAAAGGATCTAAAAAGAACGAAAAATTATGCCCTTATCCCGAAATGAATGCCTTTATCATCCTATGAGTCGATTCGGTCGCGGTCTCAAGAGTCAAATGGAGCGAGTTTTAGATCAAGTAGCAAAACACTAAGTCTCCAAATTTCTAGCCACCTAGCTTTCATTCACAAGATGAGCTACGCCCACAACCACAAACCGAGGACAAAAGGGATCAAGGCCTAAATAGCCCAAGATATGTCCAATAGGAGTCATTTGAGCAATGAAGCTATGTGATTTTCAACCAAAACATTAAAGACCTTGTAAACCTATCAAACCAAGGAACCAACTCATATATGTTCATACATTGTAGCTACTAATTCAGCCAAACACAAAACAAAGTTTTAACACTTGCCTTGGATAACACTAAGAGAAAGAAAAAGAAAAAGAAAACATTGAAGAGCAACAAGAGAAGTAGGACTTCGTTTGGAATAAATTCCATAAGTGGGGGCGGTAGAAGGTACGTGAATTGAATGCACGTCCTCCTAGGCATAAAGCCGGGCGCCTCTCACGAGGTGTGAACCTCGCCCCGTTGCTACTCTTCAACAAAAATAGAAAGGAAGGGATAGAAGGATAGAAGAGGAACTCAAGAATGAAAGCATCAATTCACACAATTCTCAGTACACAATTCCAAGTATGCAAACATCCATGAATCAATCAACTTAATCCTAACTCCGCTCCTAGGAACTAAGCAAGATAAAATAAATAGAAGAGAGTTTGGAAAGATCTCACCGGAGCCATGCCAATCCAAAACATAAAAAGAATGATGGGTTCCAAGTCAACCAACCTTGGCTCCTTCCAAAAGTAGTATACAACCTGCCAAAAAGTGAGAAATACCAGAACTCCAAAGCAAAAAGATTAGAAAACAAAATAAAGAAGAAAAAGGAAAAGTGATCATGTATAATACAAACCAACAGATACAAGCCAACAGATTATTAAGCACAAGCAAGCATAGGAAAGGCTGCTCATCCCCAAAATGATCTTTTCATTTGCCCCTAGATATGAAAATGCTAAGGCACCCCCCCAACTAAAACCAGGCACCGTCTCGGTGCGATAAAACATGTAATAGTCAAGGGTGGGGGGGGGGTCAAAAGAAATGATCATCTATTCCTCAGAGTCTTCCTCTTCCTCTCCCTCTACAACTACAGGGGGCGCCCAATCATAATCAACATCGCATGGCGGCCCATATGGCTCCCACCCACCGTAATAACCGGGGGGAAAGCCGTCGCCCTGATAAGGATAGGCGGGATCACCGAGGTAATCACACCCACCTGGGCGCTGGTAGTTGTAGGGGGGGAAGGAGTGGGGAGGGTCATGCAGGGTACCGGGGCCTTGCCAATAGGGGTATTGGCCGCCGGTACGAGGAATGGGGTTCCCATTGTCATCTACCTGAGGGGGCTCCCAATTCGGGACAGGCCCGTGCTGCGGAGGGTAGTAGGGGTAGTTGACACATGGGCTAAAATGTCCCTGGTCCACATGGTAATCATAAATATGGTTTTGATAAATATCAAAAGTGGGACCAGGAGACTGAGCAGGGGCCTCCTCTCTTTCCCTAGGCCGGGCTTGAGCAAGGTTCCTAACCTCCAGAGTGAGGCTAGCGAAAGCTTGCTCAATATTAAATGCAGAAGAGGAAGAGGGCTCACCTCCCCCCGAGAACTGGGGGGGCTGCTGAAGATGCTGCTGTGCCTGAGAAATAAATTGTTGAAATTGCTCTTGTTGCTGCTGCTGAAACTGTTGCTGCTGTTGCTCTTGATGTTGCTGGAATTGTTGTTGTTGCCGCCTCGCTTGCCTGATTTCATTTCTATGATCAATCTCGGGCTGGGAGAGGTCATTCTCGTGAATTTGCTCCATAGGGACTTGCCATGGTAACTCAGTTCCCGGGGGCGGATTCATCATGAACGGACATGGCATGTAGCACCAAGGGACGTCTCGGATCCGCCAAATGAAGGCCTTACCCGTGACTCCCGTGGAATCCGAAATGAATTGCATTCTTTTCATCTTCTCTATGTTCAATTCGGCTGCCATGTTCAAGCTCTCCATCTGCTGCAGCTGGGTCTTGTATCTGTACTTGAAGGCGATATACGTGACCATCCCTCCCATAAAGATAGGACCAGTCAAGAGGGGGGAGTCCCTTATTGCCTTACATCTCTTGGCAAACAGATACCCTAGATTGATCTTGTGCTCCGGGGTGGCAGGTGGGTAAAGAAGCGCACCCTCGGTAGCTCTCCAAAGAAGATATAACTCTTGATCGCTCATTTTACCTAGATCTTTTCTGGAGAAGAAAATATATGCAAGCATCCGGTGAAAGTACCGTAAGGCGGCATGGTGGATCTCTGAGGCCTTGGAGGAGTTTGATTGGAATTCTCTAGCCCCACTCGTGATTCGGGCCCAAAATTCTTGCGGATTGTACCCCTCTATATAACCTTGACCGTCAAGTCCGGAGGTATCCAAGATTCGAGCATTTGGGTCCCAACCAAATAGTTCATTGAAAGCACGGAGGGTAATGTGGCGGCCTTTGTTGAACAACCGGAATTTTACTTTGAATGCATCAATGCCTTCCATACCCTCTTCTTGATTTAACTCGAAGCTAGCAAGAAACTCCAATGTTAGGGGGCGGTAAGTTAGAGGCGGTTGGGTGGGGTAGTAGTAGGAAGTATCTGCGGTGATGTAATCATTTGGCAATCTACAATCCAAGAACGCATCAAACCCCAGATTCACTGCAAGCTCCCTAACCTTCTCGTCTATTCCAATCATATAACAGTCGTGTTGGGAATAGAAGAGAGTTGGATTAATTGCCCTCCTATCCAATGCGGCCAATTTGGTCCTTTGGGCCGCATGTGGCAGGGTAATGTTGAATTGAGTGGGTTGAGCATGCCCACCACTACTACCGGCACCACTACTTTCTCCTACATTACCACTCCTTGGTTCGGCTCTTTGCCTCTTTGAACCACCAGCCATTTCTTACAACAACAATATAGAAATTTTCCAAAGCAACACACCACAACAACCCAACAATTTCCAACAATTCTACACAATGACCACAAAAAACAAAACTCTCCAAAACTTTGCACAACCACCAATTCTAAAACCAAAACTTTCTACAAACCAAAACCTATCAAAAATCCACAATAATTTTCCCTTGCCAAAGCACCACAACAAACAACACACTACAATTCACAACAAATTTTCACCACATAAAACACAAAACCCATTCATTCACCATCAATTCTCCAATTAAGCCAACCTTAATAAGCAAATATCCAAAGAAATAGGGAAAATTAACTTAGTAAGAGTAGGATTATACCAACAATTGGAGACAAATTAGCCTAGAGTTGAAATTGAAGAAGAACCCGACTTGGCCCGACGCGAACCCGGTAGAAACCCGCTTCAATTCTTGATGAAATCCGGACTAGGTGCTGAATTCTTGATGGAGATGTATGATTTTTGGAGATAGGGGATGAATAATTTGTGAATTTTAGAGGAATTCGTAGTTGGAAGGTGGAGATTTGGAGGAGATGAAGGTTTGGTTATGGAGGAAGAAGTTGAGGGAGTTTGAGGTGAGAGAAGGGATAGGGATATGGAGTTTGAGGTGAGAATTTGGGTGCTCAAAATTAAAAGGGGATAAAAACGCAAAGTCTGAAATGAGGGTCGGAGCGGGCGCTCTAAGGGTAGAGCGGCCGCTCTAACATTTCGCTGAAAAATCAGGTTTCTGGGTTGAAAATCAAAGCGCCCGCTCTAAGACCAGGGCGCCCGCTCTAAGACCAGGGCGCCCGCTCTAAAGCTGCGCAATTTTCCCACACTTAGTCAATTTTTCACCCAAAACTCAGAGCTCCCGCTCTCTGACCAGAGCGCCCGCTCTAGCTTCTCGGATTTTAGCACCAAAAATGTAGAATTTCTGAGGGACCTTCAAAGCGCCCGCTCTACACCCAGAGCGCCCGCTCGAAATTCTCGAAATTTTCCTTCCTTAGCCCCCTTAAAATCAGAGCGCCCGCTCTACACCCAGAGCGCCCGCTCTAAATTCTCGGATTTTGGCCTCAAGTATTCTGAATAATTCCCAATGATGCAGAGCGCCCGCCCTCTGTTTAGAGCGCCCGCTCTAGACTGTCGGATTTTTGGCTTTAAAAGCATTATTTCCCAAACCTGCAAACACTCAAATATCACTCAAACCAAAATCGTTAGTACTTCTATAGGATGCAACCTAAGTACCCGACTCAACCATTGATTGGTTGAGCCAAGAGGTCGTGCCCTTCGGTTTATAGCATTTTGGCTAACGATAACCAACATAAATCATCCCCTCTTTGGGGAAAAATCCTCCGGATTTTTGCAAAGTACTTAAAACAAAAAAGTAACTAAAGAGATAGTTCAAAGACAAATATTCACAATATACTACAAAGCATGCTAGTTTAACGTCCCTAGCTTGACGTTACGTCACGAGCAATAAAGCTAAGGGGGAGGAACGGTGTGGACCGTCCCAAGCATTAGGCAACCGATCTTTCCAATATCTCCTTCATCATAGTATCTTTTGATCCGTTGCCCATTCACCATGAACCGGCTCCCATCTTCATGATTTTCCAATTCGAACGAGCCATAGGGGGTTACTTTGGTGATTGTAAACGGCCCCACCCATTTGGACTTGAGCTTCCCGGGAAAGAGTCGGAGACGTGAGTTGAAGAGAAGAACCTTGTTACCCACCTCGAAGTCACGATCTCGAATCCTTTTGTCGTGCCACCTCTTGGTTTGTTCTTTGTAGAGTCTAGAGCTCTCATAAGCATCATACCTCAACTCTTTCAACTCGTTGAGCTTGAGTAACCTCTTTTCTCCGGCCAAGTGAAGGTCCATGTTGAGTTCCTTTACAGCCCACCATGCCTTGTACTCCAATTCCACCGGAAGGTGGCATCCCTTACCATAGACAAGTCGATATGGCGTGGTGCCAATCGGTGTCTTGTAAGCGGTCCGTAAGGCCCATAGTACATCATCCAGTCTTAGGGACCAATCTTTTCTAGACTTGTTGACCATCCTCTCGAGCAAACTCTTAATTTCTCTGTTGGACACCTCCACTTGCCCTTGGGTTTGTGGATGGTAAGGGAGTCCAACCTTATGATGTACCCCATATTTCTTCAAAAGTGCTTCGAGTTGTTTCTTGGCGAAATGAGATCCGCCATCACTAATTAGGCACCGTGGCACCCCAAATCTAGGAAAGATGATCTTCTTGAGCAACTTCAACACTACCTTGTGGTCATTTGTGGGTAATGGTATCGCTTCCACCCATTTAGTCACATAATCCACAGCCACAAGGATATACAAATTCCCACATGAGGAGACAAACGGACCCATGAAGTCCACTCCCCATACATCAAATGGCTCAACTTCTAAGATTGATTGTTGCGGCATTTCATTTCTCTTTGTGATTCCTCCCATCCTTTGGCATCGGTCACATCGAAGGATGAACTTGTGAACATCTTTGCGCATAGTTGGCCACCAAAGCTTGCAACCTAGGATCCTTACCACGGTCTTGTTGACACTCATGACCTCCAAAGGTAGTGAATGACAATGTTCCATAATACCTTCCATCTCATGATTTGCCACACATTTCCGGAACAAACCGTCACTACACTTCTTGTACAAGCTTGGATCATCCCAAAAATACCTCTTAACTTCCTTGAAGAACCTCTTCCTTTGTCGAGCATCATAGTCATGAGGTACCACCCCGCTTGCTAAATAATTTTGCAATATCAGCGAACCAAGGGATGGTGTTGGTAACGATCGCCATAAGAGAGTCATCTCGAAGCTCATCATCGATGGGATCCTCTTTGTCAAGGTAAGAAGGGTGGTCTAACGGCAACCTTGAGAGGTGGTCAGCCACTAGGTTCTCACTTCCTTTCTTATCCCGTATTTCAATGTCAAATTCTTGTAAGAGAAGGACCCATCGGATTAGACGCGGCTTAGCATCCTTTTTGCTCATTAAATACTTCACCGCGGAGTGATCGGTGTAGACAATGGCCTTGTTGCACACCAAATAGGGTCTAAACTTGTCAAAAGCGAAGACCACCGCCAACATTTCCTTCTCCGTGGTGGGTAATTCTTTTGTGCCGTATCTAAAGTCCGGCTTGCATAAGAGATCACATTCAATTTCTTTTCTTTCCTTTGCCCAAGGACTGCTCCAACTGCATTATCACTCGCGTCACACATTAGTTCAAACGGGAGTTCCCAATTCGGTGCTTGCACTATAGGCGCATTCACTAAAGCATTTTTCAAAGTTTCAAATGCCTTAGTGCAAGCATCATCGAATTTGAACTCCACCTCTTTTTTGAAGTAAACTCGTCAAAGGTCTCGCTATTTGTGCAAAATCTTTGATAAATCGGCGATAGAAGCCGGCGTGCCCCAAGAAGGCACGTACCCCGGTCACCGATGATGGTGGGTAGCTTTTCTATCGCCGAGACCTTTGCCGGGTCTACCTCAATACCATTAATGGACACTTTATGCCCGAGGACAATGCCCTCCTCGACCATAAAATGGCACTTTTCCCAATTCAACACAAGGTTCGTCTCTTGACACCTCTTTAAAACCTTTTCGAGATTGTGCAAGCATAGGTCAAAAGACGAACCACAAACACTGAAATCATCCATGAAAACTTCTATTGCATTTTCGATCATATCAGAAAAGATTGCTGTCATACATCGTTGGAAAGTCGATGGGGCATTGCACAATCCGAAGGGCATCCTTCGGTAGGCAAATGTCCCAAATGGACAAGTGAAGGTTGTTTTATGTTGGTCATCCGGGTGAATTGGGATTTGAAAGAAACCCGAATAACCATCAAGAAAACAATAGTGTGAATGCTTCACCAACCTTTCCAACATTTGATCGATAAATGGCAAGGGGAAATGATCTTTTCTAGTGGCTTTATTAAGCCTCCTATAGTCAATGCACATTCTCCACCCCGTGACAGTGCGGGTGGAGATATCATTCCCCTTGTCATCTTGTATGATGGTCATGCCTCCCTTTTTGGGAACCACATGAACCGGGCTCACCCATTTGCTATCGGAGATAGCATAAATGATCCCCGCTTCACGTAGTTTGAGGATTTCCTTCTTAACCACTTCCTTCAAAGTCGGATTCAACCGCCTTTGAGGTTCAATGGAAGAGGCATGATCATCCTCAAGATGAATGCGATGCATACACAAGCTAGGGCTAATCCCCTTAATATCATCAATGCTATACCCGATAACACTCCTATATTTTTTTAAAATCTCAATTAATTTTTGCAATGAGGTGTCATCGAGGTTAGCATTGACAATAATAGGATGTAAGCAATCATCATCCAAATAAGCATATTTGAGAGAAGGAGGGAGGGGTTTTAGTTCTACCTTGGGAGGAGGCGTGGAACTCTCCTCCTTAGACTCACTTTGGATCGATGGGAGCTCATCCACGGCTCCTTGAGTCTCGGGATGAGTTTCACCTTCAAGGCTTTCAACCTCCAAGGCACACAAAGATTCTCCTTCACCCACCTCCTCACATGGGAGGTCTTCATCACCCTTGTCTTTAATTACCTCATGAGACTTCACCAATTCATCAAGTTCGGAGTCCACCAAGTCCACCCGCCAAATCTTCTCTACCATAGGTTGCTTCAAAGTCTTTGAGAATTCAAACTTGTACTTCTCATTGGCCACCTCACATGTAATGGTATTATCTTTGCAATTGACGACCGCTCCCATGGTCTTGAGTGCCTCTCTTCCAAGGATAAGGAGTATGAGGGTCCTCCTCCATATCCATCACCACAAAATCGCAAGGCACAAACAAATTCCCAATCTTGATAGGAACGTCTTCTAACTCACCGCATGGGAATTTTGTGGACCGGTCGGCTAATTGAATCACCTTTCTTGAAGGTATCATCTCGAACTTGAGCTTCTTTGCAATGGATAGTGGCATGAGGCTCACACTTGCCCCAAGATCGGCTAGTGCACCCGTGGTCTCCATATCACCAATCTTGACCGGAAGAGTGAAGCTTCCCGGATCACATTGCTTGGTAGGCAAGGTTCTTTGCACTAGGGCACTAACTTGATGAGGAAGAGTGATACACTCATCACTTAGCTTCTTTTTGTTGGAGAGGAGTTCCTTGAGGAATTTTGCATAGGGTGGCATTTGAGTCATGGCTTCAAGGAATGGAATGTTGATGTGAAGTGACTTGAGCATAGCCATAAACTTGTTGTACTTGTCATTCAATCTCCTCTCAACAATCCTCTCGGGATAAGGCGGTGGTGGTTCAAACCTTGATGGTTGATAAGATGTTGATGGTTGCTTGTCTTTCCCAACTTCCTTGCTCTTTTCACTACCTTCACCCTTCTTCTTCTCAATGCTTCCTTCAACACTATTTGTGGCTATCTCCATTGACCTCTTCAACCACTTGCTCTTCACCCTCCTTGTTGTGCTCCGATTGATCACTCCTAGGCCCCTCATAAGACTTTCCGGACCTAAGAGAGATAGCTTTGATATGATGGGTGGTAGCCGGGTTGGTAGTAGGTTGGCCCGGGAGCTTCTCATTGGCTAGATTGGTCACCCTCTCGGCGAGTTGAGCCACTTGATTATCCATCATCTTTTGATGTGCGGTGACCTCTTGATGCCTTTGATCCGCTTTTCGCTCACTATTGGTTATTCTTTGATCCATGGCGGATAGGCTTGATTGGATTCTATTGAGAGTTTCCATGAGCATTTGTTGATTAGGATCATTTTGCATGGAAGGGTTGGGTTGGAAATTTTGAAATTGGTTGGGTGGTCCTTGCTTGAATGGTGCTCTAGGGTGATTGCTAGCATTTGGATTTGGAAAGGGAGCCATTTGACCCGTGTTGTGGCTTGGGCCACTTGCATCTTGAAATCTATTACCATAATTGGCATTGGGGGCTCTCCAATTATCACGTTGATTGTTCATGTACCCCATTGCCGCTACATGTTCGGGGTCTCGACCACCACAATATGATATATCATGGTTGGTACCCCCACAATTCTCACAAGAGAAAGAGTGTACTTGATTGGTGGAGGAAGATGAAGACCCTTGGCTATTTCCCAGCTTCTTGTCAATGACTTGTTCCATAAGAGCCTTGAGTGAACCTTGATCAAGCTCGAATTTGCCCGAAGCTCTCTCTTCACCTCTTCTTCTTTCACCACTCGTAGAATAGTACCTCACAACTTCCTCTATGGTGTCCTCCAATTGAGCTTGAGGCACCTTGCTAATATGTCCACCACATCCGGAATTCAAATTTTGCTTGGGTATGTCGTCAAGACCATCATAGAAGAACTTGATGAGAAGTTGCTTGTCAAACTCATGGTGTGGGCAAGCTCTCACATACTCTTTAAACCGGTCCCAAGCTTCCCCCAAAGATTCATACCTTTCTTGCCTAAATGATGAAATTTTCTGCCTCAATTCGGTTGATTTGTCTTCGGGAATGAACTTGTTCAAGAAAGCTTTGGCCGTGTCTCTCCATGTGGCCAACGAGCCGGGCTTTAGGTTTTTGAGCCACCTATAAGCCTTGCCTGTGAGCGAATACCGAAAAAGGTGCATCCGGATGTATTCTTGAGTGACTTGGTTGGTTTGGATTAAAGCACATGTCTCGAGAAATTTGTCCAAATGCTCTATCGGATCTTCATGAGCTGCTCCAGAAAATTGATCTCCACGCACCATTTGAGTGTAGTGCGGGTGGATAGTGAAATTTGTTTCCGTTGTAGGAAGTAGAATCCCACATTGCAATTCATGACTACCCGGATTACCAAAGTCACCAAAAAGAGCGCCATTGGCATCCCCCATGTCTGAAGAAATATCACTAGAAGAATCAAAGAACTCCTCTCCTCACCCGTTTGTTCAACAAATAGTCTCCTCACTCGCCTTAGAGTGCGGTCAATGTCGAGATCGAGGTCGTGAGTAGGTGGTCCCTGTGATCTTCTAAGCATTCAACACAGCTAAGCAGACAATTAGCGAATGACAACAACGGAGAAATAAATGAAAAATAGAAGGATAGAAGTAGAAAACAATTGAAAAACAAGATAACTAAGCAATAAACAATGTTGCCATTCCCCGGCAACGGCGCCAAAACTTGATCGGCCCCCTAGGTGTCGTTAGTTCCTAAAGGTCGAGTCAAGAATAAAAGAAAACCCACGTCCTAAACTAACCAAAGGTAGCATAGTGGAAGAGGGGTCGAATCCTCAGGGAAGGTCAAACGTCTCTTGCTTAGATCACTTATAAGTCAATTGAAAAGGGAGGAATAAATTTTTGATGGATTTATCTATAGCTACTAGGGAAACAAATAAACTAAGAACTAAATTAACAAGCAACAAGCAGAGGTATAAAACTTCGAAAATCAAGGAATAGCAAACACTAGGGGATAGGGGAGAATTCCTAACTAACAATGATTTCAACAATTAGAGGCAACAAGAATGGTTCAATCGGTCAACCAAACAATTGGGGCCTATGGTCCAACATCTAGGATTCCCTCTCGGGCTCACCTAAACACCGCCTACCCAACCCCGCCTCGGTGGTCGAGGTCATCCCTAACCTAGTCATCATCACATACAAGCTCACTCTCGCGCAACTAGCATGCAACACAAAATAGGGTCTTAGAGGTGATCAATCTCTAATTCCTAACAACTAAAACCTAGGTTGGAATCAATTGCAAAACTTCTCAATCTACCCAATCTTGCACCACATATCATTCATTTCATCATTAGTTCATCATTTCCCCCTCCCCTAGCTAGAAACCTAGCCTAGAGAAGGAAGGGTCATACCAAAGCACACAAGAACATTAACAAAAGCAAAAACTAAGTTTAATGAGAGAAACATGGCTAAAACCAGAAAATAGGATGATTAAACTTTACTAAAGAAGTTAACTTTGAAGAGAATATGTTAAGTCTACTTGTAATCTATTCTAAATAGCATGAAATCTAAGCAAATAAGGATAATATTATACTAATAGCAAGAAAATAAAGGATCAAAACCAGAAATTGCAAGTTTAAACAAGGAGGCAACTAAGATATTAAACTATTCTATTGACTTGAAATAACAACTAAAGATAAGCTAAAACTAATTAAAATAGATAAATAAAGCAATAAATAAAGAGTAGGGATAGAAATAATACCAAAAGATTTAATCTTGGATTGAAAATGAAAGAGAGTAACAAAGAGTAGTGTTTTAGATCTAATGAGGAACTAAACCCTAACTAATCTAAAGTGCAAAAGAAAGAAAAAAAAACAATAAGCTGAAATCTGATTTTCTAATATTTCTCTCTCTACATACCTCTCTCCTCCCAATTACAAGGAAGAGAGGTATTTATACCCTCCTCTAAAACCTAACCCAAATCAAGGCCCAAAATTTTAGGCATCACGTGCAGAGTAAAATAATTAGAGCCGTCGGCCTACGCGTGTAGCAGAGTTCAAATCGGTCAGGGGAACACGGAGCGCCCGCTCTAAGGCCAGAGCGCCCGCTCTGAAGTCTCGCAGAAAATGCTCTGATTATTCTGGGAGCTAGAGCGCCCGCTTCAACATTAGAGCGCCCGCTCTGAGGGTTGGGTACTTGGTTTTTCTGCAGCAAGGAATACAGAGCGCCCGCTCCATATCTAGAGCGCCCGCTCTGAACTCTTCTTTCCTTCATATTTTGGGCTCTAATGCTCCAATCCCTTTGACTCCAAAGCATGCCTAATCCTTGCATCCAATCCTTGCTTTCTTAGCCACGGGAGGACCTGTAAGATGGAAAACACAAATCATAGGAAAGGTTCTAATAGGAGCAAATTGAAATGGGTTAAAGGAGAGGGAATAAAACCTTAGGAAATGAGCCAAAAATGACTCAAAACCACTCCAAGTAACAAATATGCTCAATAATAACAAAA